ATATTAAGGGATAAAGGTCGAGGAACTTTGATTTGTGCTTGTGAGTGGTTGTGAGTGCGGTGATTGTAGTGAGTGCCTTAGCTTTCAACCAACACTCAGGGTCAGCCCTAAGGTCCAAAAGTCCTATGAGAACTCTCCTTGAGCTCCCTCATAATGACCCCACCTACTAAGTGATAGAGGTTAGGACCACTATGTGGAACTTCAAGTTGAGTAAAGAGGAGTTTAGAATTTCTAATGGCGAGGGTTCCTTTTCTACTTTTCTAGGAATAGTCAACAAGAAGTCCTATGGCTAGACCATAGGCTACTAAAGAGGAACATGAGACCTCCACCAAAAATGAGGTCAATAGTGCAATTTTATGTATTCATTTTATGCTTCAATTTGGTGATATTGCACTTTAATAAAGGAAACTTTCATGATTCATTGCAGGTAAATTGATTTTAGGCAATTGGAGCAAAATGAAGCAAAAAGGAAGAAATTTGGAGTCAAAACGGACCATTTCAGCATCCTAGTGCCAAAAATGGCACCACATGCTCCATTTTCCAGAGAGCTGACACCAGAGGTGCCATTTTATAGAGAAGTTGTGCTAGAAGCACCAGAATTAGCACCAGAGGTGCCAGAATCCAGAACAACACTGACTAAAGTAAGCTAGTGCCAGAGGCAAAATAAGACGGAGTAAGGTAGTTAGTGACTATTTTTGAGCTGTTTTTGAAAGCTCCAATCAATTCAAACACCCCACGGAGTGATTTCATGCATCTAGACACTTTAGAAAAGCTCTTTAATGAAGGGACTTGTTTATTTGTGTGAATAGGTGTGCCTTTTGGGGAAAAAAAGAAGGAAATTTTGAATTCTCTTGAAATGAAGGCTGACCCTAATTAGAAAAGAGAAGGAGTCTAGAGAAGAGAGGGCGCGATAGGTTTGAAGAGAAGATGTTGGGGCAAGAGTTTTGAAGAGAACAGTTTGCGTGAGAGAGAAGTCTTGAGTGAAAAGAGGATTTTCTTCATTGAGTTGTAAGTGGAGAGGGAAGGTGAGAGATTTCTTTTTCATTGTATTTCTAATTCATTGGAGATTTCTTTTTCATTGTATTTCTAAGAGAGAATTGAGTGTGATTGTAAAGAGAGAAAATTCTTAAAAGAAACTTCAAGGGATTTGCTTGATAAAGAGTGCTAAATAAGTTGTGTTCTTTCCTTTCATTATTTTGTAAACTTATTTTTTTATACAAAATCTATGTTTTATCCTATTCTTCTCATGAATTCCAAGTAGTCTTATTTATTTTTATGCCTACAATGAGATTTGATTTTTTGAAGAATTAATTTTATTATATAAGTTCTTAAATGTTAATAAATTATGATGATTCAAACTCGAATCTTCATTTACTTTTGATCTCGCTAATTGAAATGTTAAAATATTTTGAGAAATATAAGATCCAAAAGGGTTATGCTTTCTACAATAACTTAAGAGTCCAATTCAATTTCATGGGTGAGAATATAGTCCATTAGGGTTGCATGCAAATAAGTAAAGAAATTTACTTTGATGGGCGCAGAATTGGAGATTTTAAGATGAGAGATTAAAATCTCTAATTTGGTCTAGATGCTTGGAAACTAAAGCGAGATTTTTAGCCCTCAGAAGAGGGAGAAGTGAGAGCTCTGGAATGGCATCCAGTATCCTCTCAACCTAACCACGGATTTAGGTACAAAATTCTTGATTAGTCAATGTTCTTTATGCACTCTTAGAGGGTAAATAATACGATTACTCCTATTTAGCACATTACAATTTTATATGTATTTTAAATAATTTTAGTTAATTCAAAATCCATAAATTTATTGTAAAGGGTGAGGATGCTTTCTTAAATTTGATTTATTTCGTCTTTATAAGTTTACTTCTGAAGTTTAGCAATTAGTTTGGTTAAATTAGTCCTTTTAACTGCATTTTATTTAACGCACATTAACTTTACTTTAGATTTGTTTTGCTTACTTAAGTTTTATAGTTTGAATATTATGTTTAACATTATAAGAATAAGATTTTCCAACTCCCTATGCGATCAATACTTAAGACTCCATTAGAGTACTTTATTACTTGAGCTATACATATACTTATGTTACTATTACAGTTTGACAACTTAAACATTTTAAAAGATAAAACTATTTAAACTGATTTATTCTCATTAGGTTTCAACTGCATTTTTACTATTTTTGGTACCATGAGTGTATTGTAATAATGAAATATATTTACAACGCACCACAAAAATCGCAGTCACCTCTCACAAATACTAACTGCCTCCCCACCTCCCATTTCCACCAGTATAACACAAAGAACCACATCCTACTAGGCTAGAGTAGCCTCCACTTTTTACAAATAGTGGGTCAAGATTCTTGTAGACATCCAGTGTCCCTTAGATGTTTCTTCTAGCCTCCACTGGATCAACCGAGCAATTGACCACGTTCTTCTCACAGCTAGCCAGTGTTAAGGGAACGGGGTCTACCAACAAGGGTGAATTTTGGCTACCACCAACAGCTGATAATCCACTAAAATTTGGGTCCTCATCTAAAAGAAATAATAAACAAATGAGCAAAGAATAAAAGACTTAAGCAAAAAAGAAAGAGTAAGAAATCACGTACCTAGAATCTAATTCACCTTGCACCACGTATATCCACCCACATCAAATGAAGATAAGTCATCAGTTGACCCCTTCTCACTGACTAAAGGGTCTTTTCCACAGAATCTTTATACAGTAGTCGGTGGGTAAACATTCTCGCTCCTGGTTGAATCTGAACTTCAACGTGAGTCTTCATCAACGGATAGACTGCTAAGCCACCCAGCTTATTCCCAATGCTAGGTTTGCGTTGTCAAGAGTCCCCATAATCGATTCAGATGACTCCATTATCTCCACTCGCTTAGTATGTTTTGGTTTCTTAGCCAACCTCTTTTTCTTCGACACACCTTAAGGCCAACATTCTCTTATATCAATGACGACCAACATTTTTGATCGATCAATGGGATTTATTGTTGAATCGGGCCTTGTCACCATAGTAGAAACGTCGAAACTAAACAAATGCAAGGACGAACAATTCAAGATAATAAATCTGCACCATATGCTCTATATACCGCAGGCACAGAAATGGATGGAGTTGATTTTTTATATTACATCATGACAAATAAGATTATATTTATTTCATTTAAAAATTTTCTTGTCCATATCATAGATATCTCTATAAAGAGAAAGAAATTTGAGTAACTAAATATGTACACCCAAAAATGGTCTGCAGGGATCTCAAGACAATCTAACAGTCTAGATCTAAAAGGGCGAATCAAAGAATATTTCAGTAACAATTAGCTAAGTACTCATAAATTTGACTGGCTTGAGAAGCACCAAAGGATCAACAACAAGCCGACCGAAAACAATCAATCTCCCGAAAGACTGAGCAAAGGTCCAGTAACCTGAACAATCTTATAGGCATTAATGTGAGGGTCTTACGACATTTCTCCTAAAGATCACCAAAGAAGAAACATGTCAACCGACCACACTAGGACTGACCAGCTATAACTCTCAAAATCGATCGGCTTCCCACAGTGAAGGCCGATTGATAACTAGAAAAATCCTTCAATCGACAATTACACTAGCAAGGTCAATAAACTCAAGAATCTGTTGATTGAAAGATCCAAATACATCAAATAATGCCAACAATTACAAATACGATAAGGCATGATAAAAAAAAAACAATGTCTTGTAACCTCACTATTAAAGCAGGGGCATAAATATATTTTTTCATGATGACCCTATATCTTCTATAAAAAGGGTTTCAATGCGTTTAAAAAGGGTTCTCAGACTCTTCTCTTTAGACCCATACTCCGAACGAAGATTTCTCTCTACTTTCCATTTGTAACCGCTCCGTTATAATATAAAAAATGGGTCATAAAGCCTCATAATAGCCTAATTTGTCCCTACGGGACATGTTTATGTGAACTCTTTTACTTCTTTTACCAATTCTCGGCTTCTCCCTCTAGGTTTCTACGGCTCCGTTCCTTGGGTCTGTCTCACATGATAAATTTTGATTCAACAATATACAGCTTTAATAAACTCATAATTGCTAACATTTTAAATTTGGGACACTCAAGTACATGAAATTTAAGTGGGCCTTGGAAGTTATGGCAAAGGTCTTAAGTTCTTTCTGGATCGACAAAATAAAAAAATTTCACCTCAAAAACATTAAGGTGGGCAAACAAAAGAGATAAAATTTTAATGTCAGCAATAATTAGGATATCAAAATACATTGATTGCTTCCAAAAGATCATCTTTTAGGCAAATCAATATTTTCTTAATAAATATTGGCTTTCCATGCGCCAAGAAAAAATTAAAATAAAGAACCAACGACCACGACAAAAATAGTAGATTAATAACATATTGCCCCGAAAAAGACTGTAAAAAAGGTAATGTAATTAACACCTTAATCGCAGTGTTGACAGCTACAATCAATCAATGGCCGCTCATTTAAGGTTGAACGCTTTTGCACTTGGGAGTCAACACCTTTTCCAATTACTCCAGAAACGACTAATAAATTAATTCGCGCGTCCTATAACGAAGCATCCTCTCTTGTTCTTTTCTCTAGTCAACAATTATACTCAATTGCCGGCATGTTTTTTGCTTTAAATACAGTCACTCATAAATAGGAAATTTTCGCATAAATAGAATGACACGTTGTTATATGACATTTTTTAAAGTGGAAAACTTGGAAACACAAATTTGATTTCTCCCTTATTAGCACTCCGCTAATATGTAAATGCCATATAAAATTCAATTGAAATCATAAGTCAACGCGATTTTCTCTATACTTAACCAATGCAACCTTTTTTAAAATAACCAGTCAACTTTTTGCTTTCTTTCTATATTTTCCCTTACATTATACGCACACATTATGCTCAGTAGATCATAATAATATATATATATA